CTCATTGCCAGAATGTGCAAGTATGCACCACACATTTGCATATTATGGCACACTTGCCTTCCAGAGTGCCCACCTCCAGCAAAGCGACAACAACAATTTCCCTTGTGACCCTTTCACTGCTGCCGACATCTCCTTGTCGTCTTCCAGGTCTGGAGTCAAATTGATTTGGCTGGCAGGGATGATGTAATCCAGGCATATGCATGGGAGTTTCTTTGCTCTGGCACTCATGGCATGCTGAGATTGCGCAGTGTACAACTAGAGCAAAATTGCTGCCAGGCAGAAAAGGAGCTTTTGTTGCACTAACACACACACAGGGGAATTTATCAAAACTGGAGCTGAGTTTAAGCTAAAAAGAACTTCATCCCACTACCACATGTGTCCAGGTGTCAGTAAGGGTGTCAGCATTTTCCTCATGGGCAAACACCTACCTACAACCCCACTTTTCAGCTTTTCATTGTTCTGCCCTGCCCATTGGCACACAACCTTTTTTTCAAAATAGTCCCTGGCCAGGAGCCTGTCTCTTCCTAGCATGTGTGCCACAGTCCCCATTCATTTGTATGCATTGGTTACACTCAGGAAGGAATGGGGACCAAGGTGCATGTGCGTCGTCTATTTCTAATAGATTTGATTTGCAGAAATGGTTGTTAAAATACTTATTAAATATTTATTTGCAAAACAAAGATGTTATATAAAATACAGACACACATGCGCACGCTTAAAAGTATTGCCCTGAAGCCTCTATATTTTCTCTTTTATTGGTATCCATAAAGCTGCTTAACGCTTTGAAGTGGTTTGTAAATATTTGCTAATGTAATGCTCTTTAGACTCACTTTCACAAGTTTGAGATTAACAAGCTCTCGTGTATACAGGAGCTTAAACCAGCATTTTTCATTTTCTAATAGTTGATGGGGTCTAATCGATCACTTTCGACTCTAGTGACAGAAAAAACAAGGAGCAGGATGGAAACAAAATTTTAACAGTGACTTGATCTTTGTTTTGAGAAACTCCATTCATTCCAAAATCGAATGTTAAAGCCAAACATGATTTCAAACAACATTTGACAAGTCTTTGATGTCATTATCCGATGTTCTGCTGAGATGCTTCGTAGGGGCATTTTTATGAAAATCTACTAGTGTAAGGAAGGCTATAGGCTGCCTGTAAATGGTCATTCCCTTTCACACTGTCGGATCAGGAGGGGATCCATGCACAGATCCCCCCCCCTCCTGATTGGAATGGATGTTGCCACTGTCGCATCCGTGTCTGTGTAGTTTTTTTTTTTTTTTTTCTTTTTTTTCTCCATCTTGCAATGGAGGAAAAAAAAACTGGCATTACCAGACCCATGTTAGTCTACGGGCAGCTGTATGTAAATGGATGGGCATCCGGTAACCCAAGTCCAGCACGATCAGGTCTGGCAACACCGATCTCTGTTCCATTGTCTTTCCGGGCCTGGCCGAAGCCAGGGGTAACCGGATGTAAAAGGATGACTATCCGTTTACATATGTCTGCCCATAGTGTAACTTCCATAGCCCAATGTCATCACTCCTTCACAGCAGCACCAGAGAGTATGGCAGGTGCACACCGGCCAAGCCCATCTTGCTCCAGAATCAGCAATTACAGAAAAAAGTCCGGTCGCACACCACAAGCTTTGCTGAAAAGTTTATTTTAGCACACAGGTACACATCGTCCCGCTATTGCGTACTCTTCACGCTGACTTGTTTTACCCAACCATGGGCTTAGTCATAGAAAAACCCATAGACTCACATCAGGCTTACGATCAGGTCTGGCTGAAAAAATGATGGGCAGACTTGATTCGAAAGCCCGTGTGAAAAGCAGGGGCGTTCCGAGGCCGGGTGACACCTGGAGCGGAGAAGGGGTGACACCCCGCCGTGACGTCATCACGCATGCACGGCCATCTTATTGATGCCTGCTGGTGGCCATCTTGGTGATGGACGGCGGCAGAGAGAGAGAGGAGGGGACGTTCACCCGGCGGGTACCCTCCTCTATCCTGACACTGTCAGGCTCTTTTTCCATGACGGAGTGCCGGACTTTTCATAGGGGGTAGAGATGAATAGATGTCACCAGCACACAACCAGTATTGCAGTCCAAAGAGTTCGTTTATTGGAACATCATGTCACCAAAACTAGTGGTTTCGGTGCCACGCAGGGCCGAAAGCGCTAGTTTTGGTGACATGACGTTCCAATAAACAAGCTCTTTGAACTACAATACTGGTGGTGTGCTGGTGACATTTATTCATCTTTATGCTGTGTGGCTGGGCGATCCGCAGGTCACTACAAGCACCCCACCTCATTCAACCTTGTGTTTTTCCTGTAAGGAGTGCGACAAGGTATCGTTTTGTTTTTTTCATAGAGGGTAACACCAAAATGAACATCAGTCATTTTTGATGTCACGCCTCCAATGGTGACACCAGGGTTCGGGCCGCACCCCCCTTGTGACGCCACTGGTAAAAGGGGCCTGAGACTTTGGGGTTTTTCCTGCCAGGATAGGAACATTAGACTGGTACAAAACTGGATACATGGGAACCCATGCAATGCTGGTCAGTCCTTTTCCTATATAATAAGGATCTAGCGGCTCTTCTTGGTTCCATGTGATCTGCCTAACATAAGCAAACATCTGTAAAGACTGCACATTAATCTCCCTCTTATCTAGACTCTGCGGCTGTAGACCAAAACCCAGCCATTAAAAGAATATTGAGTGAGCCACTTGTAACTCTATCATGACCATTGTAATTTGTGTTCCGGGGAAGCTTTCTATCCCATGGCTCTGCCGTAGTATATAGCACATTGCCTGGTTAGCCGGAATCTGGGTCAGCTGCTATTTTATACTCCTTTTTATTTCTTATAGACTTCTTCTCAGTGTAATTTATAACAGTAATAATGGATTGAGAGAGCCAGGATATTAGTCAGGATTACACAGCTGCTGTTAATCAAGAGCATTTGTTTTATGACCTCCAGACAAGGGCTGTCCCAGGCTCGGGTTCACAGAACAGAGGTGGAAAAATCCTGATCCTGGAAAGCATAGCTGAAAAACATGCTAATATCATTTCCTGGCATAGATGGCTTCTGAGCTTCTATTACTAAACTTTCTGCCTTGGCGAGATCGTTGTGATGTCTTAGGAACATAGAAACATTAGAAGAGAGACTTCATACTAATGAAATATAAATTTAAAAAAAAAAAGCTGAACAAAAAAAGCAGAATACCAGACAAAAATGACAAGTTTAACATTATAGCCCAGTTGAAAAAAAAAATCAGAATTCCCCCCTGCAATACTTCTTTTCTGCCACTAGACTAATGTGGGATGTCGGCCTTAGTTTGACATCCAACATTATTCAACACACTTTCTCTGAGCCCAGGCTGTCTAGGGCTCACCCAAGTTTGTGACTGGACAGGGAAAGAAGTAGCGCAGTGATGAACTCATCTCTCGTCACTTTCCTTTATCCTCCTATCAGCATGCTGCTTGTCAGGACATGGAATGGGTGGCTCCTTGTACTGCTTCTTGTTGTCCTGCTCCAGCCCTGCTGGGCAGGGAATGCAAGCTGCTGGTACAAGGTTGAAATCAGGTGCCTGGCGGGTGACACCCTGCCGTGTCGTCATCGCGCATCTGATTGATGTCTGCCGGCGGCCATCTTGGTGATGGATGCTGGCAGAGAGAGGAGGGGACACGGCGGCATACCTCATCCCGCTGGGTCAACTCCTCTCTCCTGACACTGTTGGGCTCTCGGTCCATGACCAAGTGGCCGACTTTTTAGGGGGGGTGACACCAAAATGACAGTCATTTTGGTGTCACCCCTGCAATGGTGACACCTGGGTGCGGGCCGAACCCCCCCTTGTGACGCCACTGGCCTGCTCTGCTTGTATTTAAAAAAAAATATAGTTCAGCTTTAAGGTAAATATCAAAATTCACAGCATGAACTGTTGCTTGTTGGTGCAATCTTCTGGCTCCTGCACCCCTGTCAGGCAGTATAGCTAGGTTTGGGACCTCCACTGTAGCTATAGCAACACTCAACCTGTATTGCTAATCCTAAGGTTTTACATCATACTGAAAAAAAAATACACATACTTTAAACAGTTGATCCAGAGGAAGGGGTAATAAAAAAAAAACTCTCCTCAAAGCTTGATTCAACAGCATGGACTAAACCTGGGATACAATTCTTTCTTGATCCCCAAAAGTAATCTGGTACGGCCTGAATCAGCAACATTTTTTTTTCACATTTATCTGCCAGTTCCCTCCATCGTTCTCTAGAATTGTTACATTGTATCTCTTGTTAGTTATTTCCTATTATCCTCAGCTCCATCTAGTGGCCATAATGTGATATGTTCCTGATTCTCTCTGTGAATCAACCACTACTGCTCATAATATTTGTACATTCGACCAGAAGAGAAAATTTGCCTAAAACATTTGATTTTGCCCCATTTTCACAGCAGCTGGTTAATTCACACAGGGTGAATGTACATTTCATTTTTTTGCCAGAAGCATAGCGATGCAATTTTTTAAAATAAATAAACATCAACAGTGTGTTTCTGGCAGGATCACATGGTGCAAATAAAGGGGGGAAAAAGCCAGAAAAAAGGAGCAGCTACTATATCTAAGGATCAAGAAGGAGTATATTAAATTTTCTGGGGTGGTGTAGATATGCTTTAATCATTGTGTTAAAGGGTTAGGATTTAATCTTGCAAATGGATAAATATATGTTTTGTATCTTAGGCCTAATTTTATTTTTGCTCAGACTTCACTATTTGGTGCATTGACATTTTGATCCTGGTACACCCATCATACCCGCACAGTGTCCCCAGTTCCCTAGCTGCATGTACAGCAGTGTCTGCACAGTCCCCTTTTAAACCAGCCATTTGTTCCATGGTATTAGAAGCATTGCTGTCAGCCACACAGATTAGAAGTCGCCAGCATTTCCTTTTTTTATTTATTTTACATAATGCTAAGTCCTTTTCTGCTCCGTTTCTCTCTCTCTCTCTCTCTCTCACAGTGCTGGCATCGCTGTGGGTTTCTATGGCAACGGGGAGACCAGCGATGGCATCCACAGAGTGACATATTCGCTGAGACATGTTAACCACACCGTGGCAGGAATCCAAGATCGGGTGAGTAGCAATAAATAGATTAATCCCTATGCCTGTGATGTCAGTTCAGCTTTATGTGTAATATGCGATGCATGCCGGTGTATGTAATAAAAATATACATGCCTTTGTGATTCTACTCCTTCACATATAAATATACCAGATTCCTAGCTCATCTGGCCTATAGATTTCCATGCCTTTTTCTATGTCCCTTTAAAAAAACCTCACGAGCACCAGAAAAAAAATACCCTTGCAAGGGGGCCTCCTAACCAGTTAAATGTTGGTTAGGTCTAGGTAGTAATAAGCTGTAACACATACCCTATTCCTTGCTTCGGCAGGCTGCTTCTATCTATGCCCCTGAAGCTGATTCTTCAGTGGTTGCACTCTGATGTCATCACCATGCAGTGAAAGCCCTATGGTCCTGCATTGTACATGAGAACGGGGAGGGCCCCCCAACAACTAGGAGTGCTGGAGTGGGGAGCTTAAAGGTGAAATATTAGGAGAGTATAATGTACTGTTCCCAATACTTGGAGCCAGCTTGTGACACTGCAGGTGTCGCATGCCGCCTCTTTAGATCGAGAGCGGAGTGATCAAGAACTGTTGATTGCTCAGCTCATGGCTTCTCCCTGCAGAGAAAGGTGACTGCCAGTCACCGCTCCCTTCAAGGGATTCCCTTTCTGTTCCTCCAGTCCTCATTGGAGAGGCAGGGGAGGGGGGGCAGCCACAGCTGGCTCTAGGGAGAAAGAGTCATAGTATTTACATAGTTACATACATAGTATTTGAGGTTGAATAAAGACATTAGTCCATCAAGTCCAACCTATTAGGATCTCATTCTAGGAGTACCTGGGAGTCAGCTCTCAATCAGGCAGCGTAGTGGATCCTGGCAATATTGTAGGGATCCATTCCGATTGCAGTGCAGCTCTGCTCTAGCCTTGCAAAAGCCCGCTGGATGCTGACTTTGGGTCACAGGAGTACGTTTAGTAAATGTATTCCTTTGGCCCAAAAGAGGACTCAAGCCAAAATAAGGTTTGGCTTTAGTTCTCTTTTTAAAATTAACACAAGCGTGCTGTGATAAAATGCAACCCATATTTTTTTCTTGGCTCACCAATGAACTGGCACCATTAAGGTCAATGGTATATTTCCCAACTTTACATTTTGATTGTGTTGAACAACACAGGGCGGTGCTGGTGATGTAATTGAGCCATTACTGGTAACATATGAAATATAATGAACCGGTTCTTCGTCATTCTGGACAGTTTCTGTCCTTTGGGCATTTTCAACAGATCGCAGTCTAGGGCTGCAACAACTAATCGACATAATCGATTATAATCGATTATTGAAAAAGTTGTCAACTTTTTCAATAATCGATTAATCGGCTTCCGATCAGTTGGCCCTGTTCACGGGTCCACAAACGCGCACCGCACCTCCTCCCCAACTCACGCTCACCGCTGCCAGACCCGCCCGCATCCGCGGTCTACACGCCGCACCTCCTTCCCGCCTCACACTCTCCGCCCGCCCACATCCACGATTGGCACAGGGATTACATTATACAGCGCAATGCAGAATACCACCAGCTATAGAGGAGCACAGCAAATCCCAGCAATAGTACATTATACAGTGGTGCAATGCCGAATACCACTAGCTATAGAGGACTACAAAACCCAGCAATAGTACATTATACAGCGCAATGCAGAATACCACCAGCTATAATGTACTATTGCTGGGATTTGTTGTAGTCCTCTATAGCTGGTGATATTCTGCATTGCGCTGTATAATGTACTATTGCTGGGATTTGTAGTCCTCTATAGCCGATGCCATTCTGCATTCATTGCTGTATAATTTTACACTTTCCATTTCACTATATTGCACACCACACCATTTTTTTACTTCCACCGCTCCAAGCTTGCTCCTGTGATCCATTTTTTAAAATGTATGTTATTGTTTATCCGATTAACCGATTAATCGAACTTAATAATCGGCTAACTAATCGATTTTGAAAATAATCGTTAGCTGCAGCTCTATCGCAGTCACAGATTATCGCAGCCAACACTGAGGATCAAGATTGGTAATTTTTGCCATAGGTCATAAGATTTCTGTGGTAGAGGGGCTTTCTGTTACAGTAACTTGCGGTTTTTGCAGGAAACCGGAATAGTGTTTTTGTTGTTTTGCTTAATTTGGTTTTTCTTCCTAATTCTGTGAACTTTGCATTACTTCTGCTTTTGATGTAATATTGTGATCTGTTGATATCCATCTATTCCCTCGGCAAAGTGAATATATTACATACAGAAACCTAATGAATAAACGGCTTGCTCATAAAGGGGATGCCTGGTGTTTTATAATCCATTTTCTTGTGTAGTATGTTCAGGAATAGAAAGATGAAGGTTTTGAACTGACTGTTATTTTTTTAGTCAGGTCAATAGGAAGTGTCAATTCTAAATGTTATATTTCCTGACAAGTGCAAGTCTGATGCACCTAGGTCTTAATTGGCTGGTTTCATGATGTGCTATATAGGGCTGAATGAGTCAGCTGAAGAACCCAGATGAGGAACCTCCTCCTCCTCTCCATGTGGATATTGTTTAGTCTACCTGCAGTCATCAGGTGCAGGGCTAGTACAGTACAGCTTTTTCAAAGCCTTCCATTGAGTCTTGCACAGTTGTCCTGGCCTCTGCCCTGCATTGAAAGTGCTTATTTTGTTCTAACTGCACACTGTGAGCTTCCCATGCTGTGCATTAGAAGCTGCAGCAAGTCAGAGTCTGCCTCATTTGCTGGCTGAAGGACATCCATATAATCTAGCCATTTCCCAACCCAACTGCCCCTGGCCTACACCTTTTATTTTTTGCCTTTTTTCATGTTCTTTCAATCATGTGGCTTAGCATTACACATGGGCAATAGCTTGGGAGGTCTTCATGCAAATGCAGCTTCCCTAGGAGCACCCACTCCCTGACATCCACCCATGAAGGCATTTTGATATGTGCATAATTTTTCTCCTACCCCTCCCACGAGCCATGATCTGCTTCCACTGTATAGAGAAGAGACCTAGTGATGATGTAACTGGGTCTAATGCAAGATATGCCATTAAAACATGTTTTATTTAAAGATTTTATTAACATTTTCATGAAGGGGGGAAAGGAAGAACAAGGTAAGACAAAATATAAGCAGCTTTAACTTAAGCTTTCAAACTAAAGGCATTTGCAGGTGTCGCTTCCATTGCCGATCCTAAAAATAAGAGGTGTATCCCTTATTTAAGGATAGTGGACAGAGCCACGCAGATCTTTCCTTTATGCCCCTTTTATTTCTGGCTGCACATCCAGACTCCACAACATAAGAATGAAGCCCACAAGCAGACACAATAAACTATAATGGTCACTACAGTATTTTCTCCCATAAGGAAGTTCTGTTCCAGTCCCATGTGTCATCCATCATAAAGTGTAAAACCAGAGGTGCACATCTTGGACTTTATGGAACATTACAGCATAGGCTGCTAATGTTGCTGGAAATGTCATCTTGTTTGCCTTTTGTTCTTCACAGGTCTCAGAAACCACCATAGCTCTAAACCAAACTGTGGAACCAAATCTGATAGAACTGGAAACCATGTTTACAAAACACACAGATTACGTTCTCATCGTCCAGAAACTTCAGGTTCTTCTGTACACACTGGTCCAACAAACCTCTGAAATCCCGTTCTGGAAGAACACCGACATTTCAATAGACGATCTGGCTAAACAAGTGGATCTATTCGACTGGTACAGGTAAGCGGTGTTCTACGTACGCTGATGTTTAGGGATACTGCTTTACCTGATCTTATGGCATTTGGGTGGTGGTCGGCATTTTAGTGCAGTCAAATGACTTGCTGGTAGATAATCCTATCGAGGAAAACTACCAACGACAACCTCCAAGCCTTATCCCACCTAACCTAGCTGATGACAGGAAATCTTGGACTATTCAGCAAAGTACAGAGTCAGGAATTTGACGTAATTTATGGACATGGATATACTTACATACCTATTAGTGAATGCTATTAATATTTCTGTTCAGTAATAAGACTTCTATTTTAGGTTTACTGTTGTTCTAGCTTGCTTTAACACGGTTCTGTAAAAATGTATGGATGGAAGGGTGAAATCATTGCCCGTAGAAGCCAGTCACAAACTATCTCTCATTTTTACAACCTCCCTGTTACCATTTTGGGTGCCTGTACTTTTGCCATGTGTTTCAGTGCCATCTGGATCATTCTTGGGGCTCTGGTTGTAGGTTGTGAACATGTGTCACAAAAGAGCCTTCTATACCATATAGATAGTAATGCTCACTAGGTTTTTGCATGCAGTTTTCAGGGAACAAGCAGCATGAAACAGAATATACACTGCCTGACTAAAAATAGTCACCACCTGGATTTAGCTATGCAAATAGGTATATGTATAGATAATACGTCTAGGTTCAGCAACATTATGTGCCCAGGTTTTCCCATTAATGGATTTTTTTCTTCCCTGATGGCCCTGGCATATTCCTATATGACAATGCCAGGACTGATCGGGCTCAAATTGTGAAAGAGTGGTTCCGGCAGCATGAGACATCATTTTCACACATGAATTGGCCACCACAGAGTCCAGACCTTAAACCCAATAAGAATCTTTAGGATGTGCTGGAGCAGACTTTACACAGTGGTCCGACTCTCCCACCATCACAAGATCTTGGTGAAAAATGAATGCAACTCTGGACAGATATAAATGTTGTGACATTGCATACGCTTATTGAAATGATGCCACAGGAAATGCATGGCGTAATCAAAGCTAAATGCGGTCCAACGAAATATTAGAGTGTGTGGCCCTTTTTTTTGGGGCCAGGCAGTGTATTGAGTTTGCAAAGTAACAAATTATGAAGGTAATAGAAGACATGCCAATACAGTTAATTTATTGACCACTATCATGAAGTGACATTTTGCTACAGTAAATTGAAATTTAAAGTTGAACACCAGGCAATACTTTTTTATTTTTGGGTAAAGTGGTAAAGATCATATATTGTCACCAGGACAGGAAGTAGGGGGAGAACTCCCCAATGGGGATACAGGCAGCTATGAAAACCCAACTTCCCTCTATCCAAAATGGCAAAAAATAATTTTTTTGGCTGGTTCCGTTTAAGTACTTAAACAGACGTGTTGGGTCCATAGAATCTCCGTTTAAAGGGATGTAACCTGTCGGCCTCCGCTTAATACTTATGCATTTAAAATTTTAATACTTTTTATTAAAATGTGTCAATTTTATTGTACCTGTGATTGTTATTTTAATAGTGAATTTTACTCTATCAGTAAACCGTATCCACAAGGGAGGTGAGAGTAAAATGTATTTTTTCAATCTCTCTTTTTTTCTTTCAATCTCAACATTCAGAAACATTTTGTGCTTGACTAAGCCTTAATGAAACACAACTACACAGCGAGGCAGTTTTTTAAAATGTTCAATCCCAGCGAAAAGTTGAGTACTCTCGGTAGGCTGTGTCTGAATTCTAGAACTAAATCCCAAAGTCTCCCAAGTGCACGGCAGGAGAAAATAGCAGCGCCTTGGTTGGAACTCATTTCAGTCACAGGCGAGTGCTTTATCGGGGGGTGTCTGTGAATTAAACCAGGTGTGTTTAATCAAGCGCAGGTTCTGAGTATTAGATGGTTTATGAAACACGCAGTTTAAGTGTGCGTTTTATGTTCTTTCCTCCCTTGCTTTTCTTGGCTGCTCTCCTGCCTGTGACAGTCCAATCAAGTGAGAAGGAAGCAGACTTTCTGCTTTGCTTTACCGGACCAGAGAGCGGTAACCCCTAACAACTATGATTCCTTTACTGCACTTTGCACAGCATTGTTTGCTCTTTGCATGATACAGTTAAAATAAGGTCAGTGCCAGCCAACCAGCTGTTGTCACATGTTGCCGGAATTTTCTGGTGTCCCTAGCCTTTTTGCCACCCTAAAGGGGGGAGGGGGGAGTGTCAGTGCTCTGCTGGTGGTGTACGCAATCAGAGCAATGGGAGGTGGGTAGAGGAGACAGTGCTTCTAGACACCAGGGTGATGCCGCCCTCTGCAGGCTCTGCATCTCCCCGCCCAACTCTTAGCAACCTGGGACGCTCTAGCTGGCCTCCTGCTTAGCTCCTGGCAAACATTGATGACACTGGTTGCCAGAAGCTGTGTGGGATGCTGGCCAGGGCATTCGAGGTTGCTTAGAACTGGACAGGGAGATTTAAATGGCCCCTGCACATATCCCCGACCGGCTCTTGGCAACCTGGGAGGCGCTGGTCGGAAAGGGGGCGGCAGGCACACTGATATGCCGCCGTGCCTGCTGCTCCCCTTTTTGTGACCCGAAGAGATGCCCCTGAGGTAACAGCCTCAGGCTGCTAGATTGGAGTATAGTAGAGTGTTCCAGCTTTGATGTCCTGTTTTATCCATGATGGTTACCATCATTGGCAATAAACTCAACTAGATCAAATCAAAGCCATTGACTGTGCAAAATACGGAGACCCTCTTGGCCAGAAAAAGTTAACCCTCTGCTTCTGTGAAGACTGACTGTCATCTCTTGATTGTACTAGAACGTGTGGATAACTGTTTTCTCTATCTTTCTTCAGATGGCTGGGTTACCTAGGTTTGCTCCTTTTTCATGTTTTCATTTGCCTCCTGGTGCTTTTTGGTCTTATCCGGAACTCAAAGGCCATTCTGGTGAGGTGAGTAGTTGACTGGTCACCTGGAGTGATATATATGTTATCCATGTATTTTCTGCTTTCTGTTTTCTCCAGAGAAACATTTGGCTGTAGTGGTTCCGTTCCCTTTTTGTTCCTTTGGTGGCTGTGGAGATATAACTAGTTCATATTAGGAACACATTGATACTATCTACTTATACTGAAAGCCTTTCCACCAGTTTTTTTATTTACCCGGCCAAAATTCGCACAGTGTGTGGGGCTGTCAGCTCCTTTTCAGCCAGCATTCCTTGATCAGCTGATCGAAGGAGCCATCTGGAAAAGTTTCGATCGATCAAAGCCGGTAGCAAATGAGTTGCCTGCTCTGATTGGGTATTATGACAGGTGTTCGCGGCACCTGTCGGAATACAATGTAAACAGCGGGTTTCATTGATCAACTTGCGGTTTCTGTTCATAGAGGAATCGGGTTGATTTTTTTTCCATTCAGCCCGCGGTTTGAACGGAAAAAAATTGATAGGTGTATGGCCAGCCTTAGGATGTCGGTGCTGCATTCTGTACAGTTAAACAGTGAATGAAGGGCGCTGTGGCAATCCCTCTCATCGGGTGGGCCCATGATGCCCTGCACTCACAGTATGTCTTCAGTATTCTGATTTAAGTAATGCTCCCTCTAACACTTGCTCATTTATTAGAAAAAAAAAATTAGTCCAGAGTTGGAATCTATGCAAAACCCGTGCTGAGAGAATTGTGGAGTCTGCCATTGTTGCTCTCTTCTAAAAATAAATTCTAGTTGCCTGGCTGTCATGTTAAAATGATGGCTTCAGTAGTTTCAGAGTTTCTTGTCTACAATCTCTAAATCTAGAAAAGAAACGTGGCCAGAATTATGATTTACTAAATGGGGAGCTGTTAGAATAACAAGTTAACCATTTTAGGTTTACCTCCTTTTCTTGGAATGGAAGAGGAAATGATTTGTAGTCTAGTATGTGATACCCTCCCATGCTTTGTTGCTGCTTCTCTAGCATGGTGTACCTGGAAATTACAGGCATGGGGCATAGTATAGGAAGTCTAGCTGGCCATACACTGTTGGAATTTAATTTGAATGTTCGTCATAGCATTTTGATTTTACCATCCAGTCAACCACTTTAATTTAAAAGCCCTTAAAAATGTAATCCCGACCTGTTACTTGTATAGAATCCTAGACCTATTAAACGGGTTTCTTTTGCACCATGCACACATTTTCCTGGTTACTAACCAGAAGTGAATGTCAATTAGCCCCCGCTAACCATTAGGAAATTAAATGAACGTTTCCGAAAATAAAAAAAAATTTAAGAAAATTCTTTGGTTTCCTTTATGGGAAGGGTTTTGCTTTTGTGACAAAGTAAAGACATGTGGTCCTTCCCATTGTTGTCCCTTTTAAACCAGTGCACCTTTTGTCTTCCATCGATGCCCAGACTGTAACAATGCCCCAATCTATACATCATTCCTTAAACAGCACTAATGGACTTCATATCCCGTTCCAATTCTTCAATGCTCACTATTTTATAGTTCTCTCCATAAACTTAAAAAACCTTTACCTTTTATATAGTGATCTAATTTATATTTACTATGTGTTTTAATATCCACTATCCGTTTCTCACCTTTAGTATAATAATAATATTAATCTCTAAAAGGAGAGAGGAAAAAAACCCATGATCTAATAAAAAAGCACTTATGTGTGTAAATAAGTGTATAAGGCCATAGCAATATTTGGCAGGCGAAATATTGTGCATATAATACTCACACAAATATACATCTAAAAACTTGTGATTTAAACGAAAAGCACGTGTATTTATAAATAAGTGCTTAAGGCCAGAACAAATTTGCCTGGCATAGAAATAAAGTGCTTGAGAGAATAAATCCCCAAAAAACTAAAAAGCAACCTCCAACCTGGCCATCTAATATTTTAAATCTAAACAAAACAGAATTACAAACTTTAGCTTGATGTCACAGCTACCGAGGAAACGATGCCATCTGTTGTTTCTGAGAATGATTCTAAGGTCTCATTCACACACAACGCAAGCAAAATTGTATATTGCGTATATACGAGCGACTTTGCGCGTATGTACGAGCGTATATGCGTGCACTATATGCAATCCCAGAATGCATCACTCGTAATTTAATTTTTTATGTGCTGTACGCATCTACACGTGTATATGCGCGTGAATACGCAGAAATGCGCTGCCCGGACACATCTCTGTTCCATTCTGTTTTTGCGCATATATACGCTACGCAAATATACGGTTCCATACGCGGCTGTGTGTATGGATCCATTTATTTGCATATGGTACAATACGCACGTACGCGTGGCAGTGTGAATGAGGCCTAAGAGATCTCTGAATACCTGAGAATCTTTAAATGCCATCCACTCATTCCACATAGCCCAAACCTTTCCCTGGTGTCTCTATCTACAGCCACCATTTCCTCCATTCGTATAAGGTTGTTTAGAGCTTCCAACCATTCTATCATAGAGGGTGTGCTTGAACTTCTCCAATGACGCGGAATAATCATACAGACTGCAAACAGAAAAAAACTTAACTTTGAGCTTTTGGCAGAGGCCCCCAGCTAGTTTGACTGCGAATAGGTTTCTGAGTACTAAAGTCTGCAAGTAAAAACTGCATTACGGGCCCCAGGATTTTAATAGCGATCACCATGGTTACCCAAATGGCTGGCAGCCGTATCAGTGCCAGTTATACATTTGTTTTATTATTTATTTCTGGTCACAGGTCTTTTCTTCTGTAACCTCATTTTTCATAAAATGAGGCTTGGTCCCCAGGAGGGCAGCTTATTTATTTGTAATAAATGTGTTTTTATTGGAGACATTATCAGGTGGGGCGGGGGAATTCATATATTTAAGCTGCCTTAAGCCGGCAGGTTTCACTGTCAGCTCTGAAATGTCTTAAAGAGCTCCTGGTACATGAATACAGACGGTGGGTCATGTTGATCGTACCCAGGGGAGTATTGTTTCAGGCAGGTAATGTTGTACCAAAGCAAAATGTCAGATCCCCCGTTCATCCATGTTGCTGCAAAGAGAGAATCTGATTTCTGAAACACAAGTCAAGGCCCATTTTCTTCTTGTAGTTGTTTTACAGAATGGACCAAATTATTGTAGCAAAGCTGTGGTCCTCTGATTTGTATGTTGGAGCACCCGTGGATGCAAGGCAGGGCAGAAAATAGTCACCATACAATCGTTCTGTCGGATTATCTAGTCATTTACATTCATGATTGCACTGTATGTGTGGCCATGTTTGTACCCTTTGAAGACATCCTCCGCTCCCGCTTTATCTGTGGGGAATCTTAGCCCTGTTTGGGATAATCCTCCTTGGACTGTTTGATTCTTCCTGCAAGATTGGTCAACCCAGGTTTGTCGCTACAGGTCCACACATAAGAAACCTATGGAGGCATTTTCCTCCCCTGAGATGATGTGCATGGTCACATGTCTTAATCACATGTGCGGGAGTTCCAGAAAGTAAAGGGAGATGGATTCATCTGCCCTTAGTAAAAATGGCCACTGTGAGAAGCATGTGGAGGAAAAGAAAAATAAGGAATGCAAAGATTAACAATCCTGCAATTCTCTAAGTATCTGTCATTACTAAACTGTTCTAAAGGTGCCTTTGTTATTTTGTAGATATGGGTAAAGTTCCTCTTTAAAGCATCATAGGTACAGATTACCAAACCTCTTTATGAGGTCTTTAAAATACCTTTTTTTTTTTAATGAAAAAAATTTGTTTTTGACTCTGAACATCTATATAGTTTGTACCTGGAGTTCCCCTTTACCAGTTGCTGTACACTGCTTCGTCTTGGCATACAATAATATGTCTTCCTGCTGCTCCTTATCCTTACCCCGGGAAGGTCGAAATTTACACTGTAGGAAGTCCCTGTAGCCCTGCTTTACCTTTGCCCTGAAGCTTTGAGGATTTTTTTTCCTTCGTCTTGGCTTTGAGCTTAAAGCTATTGAAAGTGTCTAATCCTCATTATGAATTCAGCGACAGCCTTGCTGTACTTTGAAGTGTGTTCAGTCTTTTGTTACATCCTGGGTGCATGTGTGGAGGCTTCAACTGCTTGTAGGTTACATGAGGCAAGGAGCGGGGGGGACTGGGAACCGTTCCCAACAAGTTTACAGAAAGGCAAAGAAGTGGAAGAAAGTTCAGTCCTACATTCGGGATGTACATCATCTGCTAAAGCTGAACTCCGGCCTTACCCTCAGGCTTGCACAGTTGTACCGACTCCTTTTCTGGACTGTAATTGCTTACTGTCATTTCACTGCACACCGTGAGCATCTCTCAATAGAGGCCGCAGCAAATCGGATAGAGCCAGCATTATTTAGCCCTTTCTCCCGAGCCGAAAAGACCCTGGCGCACCCTTTAATTTATTGGATTTCAATCATGGGGCTCAGCATCACATTTGGGTGTTGGGTAGAGTGGTCTGCATGCAAAGGCATGCCCACTCCTGCAGGTTGATATCCACCTATCGTGCATTTTGATATTTGCAGAACTCTTTCAAACAGCCAACCCATTTGCTTGCATCAGGGCTGAGGGCTCTTGAGAGGAGTGCTGTAGTGATTTTTTTTTGTGGCAACATTACATTGTGGCTAGGTTCAGACCTGAGCCACAACCGGGACCACGTGATCGTGTGCTAGTGCACACATTATTTGCCGATCGGCCCCATTGATTTCAATGGGGTTACATCTGCGTGGCAATAGCTAAAAAAAGGTAAAAGTACCCTTTTTTTGCGACGCACACAATGCCTGGCTTTTTTTTTTGTTATTTGTTATTAATTTGTTATTAGAAAATAATGGCACCCACAGTGCGATCGGCTGTGGTGGGCGACTCAGTGACAGTCGGTCAGGAGTCGTCCAGGTATGAACCTAGCCTAAAGCTGAAATCCAGCCAAACAGCTAAATATCCAGATAGAATATGTACAAGGGTGCTCTTTGGCATGCAAAATTAGATTTACACAGCTTTAACAGACAGGATAACCAGGTAGATGACCCCACTTGCTGTTAAAAGAAAACTATGGCATCTGATTTCTAGAAAATGGCTACAGCACTTGAAGAACTTTGGGGAAAATATTTATTAACCCCGCACTGCAAGGGATAAGTGCTTGTTTTGGTCTAGGGAGGAAATTTAAATTCATATGCATCTGGTCCTTGTAGCCGGCTTGCTCGTAGACCGGTCTCTGGAGGCTCTCTGCTGCAGAGGTCTAAGATTCCTGGAGTCATCACGTTCTATACAAGGTGTATAGGACGTAAGGATGCCAAGGGACATATCATCGCAGGCTGGAGGGAGCCAGCCAGCTACAAGGATTGGGTAAAGGTGCCCATACACTGCACGATTCTCGTACAAGAATCGTGAGAAATCCCGCAATCGTACGAGAATCGTGGGAAATCCCGCAATCGTACGAGAATCGTGCAGTGTATGGAAGGCGTGCGACCGTTTCTAATGTACGGTCGCACGACTTTTGTATATCGAGCATGTTGGAAAACCAGCCGAGAATCGTACGATTTTCGGCTGGTTTTTAACATGATCGTGAGAACGCACATCGCCCGTTCAGCATTGCAGTCATCGAAAGCACGATCTGCCTGTCCAAGATGGGCAGATCGTATGTTTTTTTAAGTACTTTACAACCCTCGCAAGACAAAAGTCTTGCGAGGGTTGTAGAGTGTATGGGCACCTTAAGTTTTGCTATTTTCCTCCCTAGACCAAAACAAGCACTTAACCCTTGCAGTGTGGGGGGTAGCCCCACTGCAAAGGTAAATAAAAAAAAATTGTCCCTGAAGTTCTGCTTTAATTATAGTTTTCTCTTGGCCCGCCTGCAAAGTCTCACAAATACCAGTTGAATCTTCCAGTGAAGACCACTTAGTGCAGCGAACATTTTGGGAAATCTGACCCTTTTCAATTAGTAAAAAGTACAGAGAATACAGAGTAGTTTTCCCCATGTGAGCTATGCTGTCAGTCAGCTTCATGCAATAAAGGGAGCTGGCACACAGTGTGAGAGTGTTTTCATTGAGCTGTCATGGTAAGCAAAGTACGTAGGTGGAAGGCATAACTGGTTGGATTTAGCAGTTACAGATGCTCCTGATAGTTTCGCATTTATCTTTAAAGTGACACTAACCTCGGGATTTTGGCTGTAGATCCTCAAATCATCTCTAAATTAGTGCTGACACTGTCCTTCCTTCTGGAGGGTGGCTGCTTTTGTTCCCCATGGTCCCTGTGTGTGTTGTAAAGTAGTCACCGCTCCAAGCTCACTCCCGTGATGGACTACTATCTCAGTACAAATTTGTAAACTAAACATGAGATTGTAGTCTATCACAGGAGTGATTCGAGGATCTACAGCCGAGTGATACACAAATAAGATAAATTTTGGTATTTGAATATTTTTAAGATTTAACTCTTGAGTTTAGTGTCACATAAGCTGGCCATACACTTATTGAATGTCATGCAAGGAGTCTTCTACTGAGGGAGCAGTGTTAAATCTGATGGCAAGAAAAGGGCTCGCACCCCGGACTCTGTTTATACATTTATAAAGTGATAACATTTGGTAACATTCTCTTTTTTTTTCTTTCATTTCCTGTTTGCAGCGTATGTTTTTTTGGAGTCATGGCACTGATCATTAGTTGGGCATCCATGGGTGTGGAGCTTGCAGTGGCTGTGGTGAGTACAATATTTCTTCTCCATGAACCTCTGGAGGGATTTCAACTGTGATCGTTTACATCACACAAATGAGTAAAGTAAATTGGCATATATGTGAGGAATGTGTTTGAATGTGTTTGTTTGGGAACTGTCATCTTTGTTTTACATGTATACATCATAAGATTCCTAGGGGGCTATGTATATTATCCCCCAAGATTCACACACAATTAGGATTCAGTTGGAAAAATCCTGGGTTTGTTGCGTGAATCTTGTGTGAACGCTTTTATGAAAAGGCCATGCAGTCTGAATTCCTTATTTTTAATATCCCATATTTACTAATCTAATTTACTATTGTTGAAGATGTCTGCTGCGCACCATACAGCGTTGTGACCAATACCTGATGGCCTCCTTTAAAGAAACTCTGTTGCCAACTTTAAAAAAAAAATCACAGTAATGAAATGCTTACTTGCAGTATTTTTCCTTTTCTGTACTTTTTTTTTTTTTTAATCACTTGCAATGTGCCTTTAAAATGTGATTGCCCCAGGGAGAGACAATTTCCTAGCATGTCCTAGCCCTCTCCTCTTCTGGGAGTATCTGATTGCTCTGGCCCAGCTCCTCTGCCCCTCCTTTCACCTCCTTACATGACCTGTAGCTGCCAGGGAAAATAGAATGCCATTTGAGTGAGAGCTCTGAGTCTACTAGGGCTGCTGACATCACATCCTAGATGAGCACACCCAACAGCAATCTCATGGTTTTTGGATATCTACACAAGAGAAGCTTTAATAGGTAAATAACATGCTTTACATACATACATACATACATACATACATACATACATACATACATACATACATACATAACTTAAATGCACATATATTCCTATGGGATGATTGTTAAAAATGGTTCTGCATCAGGGTCTCTTAAAACAGCAGGAGGAGAGCAGCCAGTCATCAGCAGGACATCTGAGTACATCATCTACAGTAGTAGCCGGTTTCTACCATCGCAGGCAATACCTGATACTGAACATAGAAGGTGCATTTTAAAATAAAAAATGTATCCTTTCATGTGTTTATATGCAAAAATGTATGTATGTATAATCTAAATATATATTAGAGATGCTCCGATACCATTTTTTTTGGTATAGAGTACAAGTACCGATTTTTATTTATTTTCGGTACTCGCCAATTCCGAATACCGATACCGGCATCCGTGGGCTTGAATTATCAGGAATTGCCTGGGAAGCCGGTGTTCTATCGAAAGAACACCGGCTTCACTTCCCTGGCGACACTGCGAGGCAGCCTGGCTTCCTGACGAATCAAGAAGCCAGCTGGCAGGTCATGATGTGCCGCCCAGCTTCCTGATTGGCTAGGAAGCTAATTTCACCTGTTGCCAGGCCAATGAAACTGGCTTCCTAGCCAAACCGGGAGGCAGGTCATGACATGGTGCCCAGCTTCCTAATTGGCTAGGAAGCTGACTTAACTTATTGCTAGGCAGCCTGGCTTCCTGACCAATAGTGTGGCACGTCATGAATCGCCCAAATACTAGGTATCAATACCAATACTAGTATCGGTGCATCTCAGGCTATTGCTAACCATGTACTTCATATAAGACACAGGGCATAGCCACAAGCCATATTGCCATATACTGATGACATTTGAGCTGGCCTTTTCTAATCTCTTGTTCTTCCACCTTCAAGGGCTCCAGTGATTTCTGCATGGATCCTGACACCTTTATCACCAAAATAGTGGAAGAAAAATCTGTGTTGAATCCAGGTAAGGATTTTTTTCACCTACCACTGATTGTTAGCTCTCATTTGTTTCATATGAACGAAGGGCGGTCATTTATCCCTGTAACCATATCTCCTAAGTGCCCCCGCTTCAGAGGGACAGATTTAAAATTCTTTAATAAATGTGGGTGTGACTTTACAAAGTTTTAGCGCTAGGGAACTCCCAACAGAATTCTCCCCCTCCTTTGATTAGCTGTGGCCTTATGATGAGGAGATGGGTCAAAACTACTGATGGATACAAGAATCAGGTGGCCAGCTTAACTTGGTGTCGACGACATGAAATTGAAATAATCTCTTTGCGTGGAGTTGTCCTTTTAAATATTGGAATAACTGGTGTAGGCTGGTGTATCCATAGGAACTAATCAACAATTTCCTCTTATTATTCTACACTGACTACGCTAATCTTGTGAAAGATGAAATATTATTGGTTTTCTGTAGAGCGTCATAACATACAAACAGTAGAAAACATCAACCGACATCCCAACATGAACTACCATTCCCATCCCACCCCGCTTGTTAACCCAACTCTAACAAGCCCGGACCCCTTAACGTAACCAAAACTCAAGCACCAAGTGCTAGAACAGTGCCCAAAAGGCTGGGGGTGAAGCCACTTCTATCAGGACCTGACCCAAACATTTCCAGGCCCCAAGTGGTAATGACATAACATGGCGACGGTTCCCCTACTGCAGGAGGGATGTCTCACCGCTACCACGGACAAGAGCACCGTTCGATCAGCGTCCGTCCATGCACGCCGCTTGGCCACGCCCCCCAGGAGAACCACCTTTTAATATTCAAAGTGGCAAAATATAGAACATTTGTGCAATCCTCCATCTACTATTGAAAATGTAAACACATGTCTCCTGTGTTTTTTATAAAGTTGACTTTCACAGCAAAAGACCATGTTACTTCATTGTAATTCTCCTCTTCTTAATCTAACAAAGAAGTTCATGCCACCCCTGCCTCCATGCCTGCCTAGGTGAGAATGACATCATCCTTGCTTCTGTAGTCTCCTGGGATATTCATGTCACATAAACCAAGAGGCATCAGCAGTGGCTTCACACAGCAGGGTTGACCTGGTGATGCAACATCATGGGGCCAGCTGCAAGAACCCAGAAGAGCTAGCCAGCTCCCGATGAATAAAGAGAGGGAATATCTGTGAAGGTTCTCATTCATTCAGGTCATGGTATATTTGTAAAAAATAAGTCAAGGCAACTGGACATGCTGTATTTTTCTTGGAGACGTTTCACTGGTCATCCAACCAGCTTTCTCAATTCAAAAGAGAGGAATATGGCAGCGCGGGATCCGGCGTGGAGCACAACAGATAAACGTGTTTCTTGTGAATAAAACGGTACAAAAGGTAAGTATGGATTCAAAAAAATGTATACAATGGGTTCCTCTTTAGAAATCAAAATAAGCCTTCAGTTGTATTACACTCTGGTGCCATATCTTACCTTTAGCAACCCTGGACACCTACAGTTCAGAGCTTAGTGACCTAGGAACTCATTGCCTAGCCTAAGCACTGTCATGGGGAGTGGTGGTGCCTAGCCATATGCAAATCCTGACTTTGAGCAAGTCAGCTTTTTCTTATGATCTTTGTAGAGGCTGTATTGGCATATGGAAGGGTGCAGGCAAGCATGCCTGCTTAATGGTAAGCCGTGTCATGTTGTACAGCTGGAGGCTTAATTTAAGCTGATGTGACAGGTATGCTTTGAGTGTTAGTCCAGAAGTAATTGCATAGTAACGAGGCAAACTATGGAGTACAGCAGCCGGCAACACTGTTACTAATGATCATCATAGAGAGAGATGCACCATGTTTTTTGTTTTATGATCTCTTTGCACAAGCTTTTTTTAAATTTTTTTTTATTGTGTGCGTTACTTTTTGATGCTATTTAGTATCAGTGTCATCATTTGTCAGCTTTGGTATTTTTGCTGTTTCTTCGGCCAGTGCAGCTCTATACGGAGTGATATAATACATCCTGAATTGGCTTGATTGCTCTCCATTTCCTCTGATTCCTATTTATGGTGCTTCATTACAAAGGGAAACATTATCCCAGCAATAGACTTTCCATGATCTGACGACACTAGGGGTGAATGTAGCTTGCTGAATAATGGAAGGGTGAGTGCGGTGTGGGAGACGCCACCTTTGTTTGAGCTAGAAATGAGTGATAAATGCGCCTGGCTTCGTGATCTGCTCTCTTCCCTTCACACATTTACTGGCTGACCGCTGGCCTTCTACAGCTGCTGGCCGCCGACATTAACACAGATTACAGCCCGGTGCTTGAGTTCAGATGTGTTCCATTAGGGGGCTAAGAGGATCACACTTACTATTCAACCTGCTGTCAAGGCTCTGCCCTAACCCAGTTATCTCGTGCAGTGATTATTTTTATACCCAGAAATAGAGCGTGGATTTCACTCTTTGCCAACTTAACTGTTAAGCATCTATCTGCTTTCTAAATCAAATCTGCATCCCACGCAATTTTTTATGGCTGTAAAATAGAATTTGTCAAAGAGATTTAAAGAACAACACCATGCACAATAACTTTACCAGTGTTAAACATACCTTTACATCATCATACGCACCCCCCCTACAATTCTGCAAACCTGCCATTTACATGCTAAGATTAGTAGAGATTCCACTCTACTTCCAGCCCGCTCGGATGTGTGCACTGCAGATCTCACAGACCCCAGTGGAGGTTGTGTCTCTGCCTCCCTCTTCTCCAGGCCATTCATAAAATCCCAGGATTGTGTTTTGTGAGTGGCCTGAAGGAGAGGAGGGTGGACCCCCAGTGCTGAGGTTGTGTCTCTGCCTCCCTCTTTTGCGGGTCATTTACAAAATCAATCCTGGGACTGTATTTTTGAGTGGCCCCGAGAAGAGAATGGTGGACTCCAGTGCTGAGGTTGTGTGTCTGCCTCTCTTTTCTCCAGGCCATTTACAAAAAGAATCCTGGTGTTTTGTGAATGGCCTGAACGAGAGGGGCGGGGAGACATGACCCTGCAACACTTTTGGGTCTGTGAGAACTGCTGTCAAGGAGCGTGTGACCTGGAAGTAGAGTAGGAGATGTACTAATCCCGTCATGTAAAGGAGCCGGATGTTGGATAAAGCCTCGCAAGGAGGGGTTGCTTTTGAGGTAAAGGAACAATCTAGTTCTCAGACATCCAACCTATACAGTAGTTAGTCTCAACAGAAAAGACCACAGTGCAGTTAGTTCGTTTCCACCCATATGGATACAGGCATACTGGGCATATCGTTCCTTAGATTTTGCTTTCATCGAGGCACAACAGAAGTAGCTGCAGTGTGAATCTCAGCCCACATCCCAAGATGGCTCTACCCCTGAGATCTTTTGCTTTGGGCGATCCCTGAGAGGGTGCTGTTGTAAATTCAGCATTGTCTGTATTCCTTCGGTGTGCCATCTGCTGTGAATCTTTCCAAAGATGCTTTCATTGCACTACACCTTGCATTTTCACATAATGTCCTAAAAGCTAAGTCGTTTCCCCCCCCCCTTACCTTTTACCTAAATCATGGGGTTCGCCCCACAGACTTCTGCTCTTTTTTTGAACTTGGCGCGACTTCTTGGCTCTGCCTACAGTCATCCATTCACAGATCCTTTACCAGTCCCACGGCGGCAGGGGGGACTTGTAGTTCTCAGTGATTGACATCACCACACTTGTAGTCCATTCTTCCTCCCATTCTGTAACTGGAAGTCCATACCTTGGTAAGGAGAGGGACAAGAGGAAGAGTCTGCAGCACCCACAACATTGCACCCATGATCCACTGAACACATTACAATGCAACAATGCAAAAAAATAAATAAATGCACTTTTTTTATTTTATTAAGATGTGCATTTATTTTTAAAAAGTGGACATTTTAATGGAATCTACAAAATGAAGCCTTAGCATAAACGTCTTCATGTAAAGATGATGTAAGGTAGAGCGTGTCTATTTTCCTGCCAAGAGAAGCACTTGACCACCCTGAGCACGCGATCCGGTAAATGGTAAGCACGGGTCGGGCCGGCCAGCTAATTACAGTTTAATGGCTCAGTTGAGCAGGAGACGAGCGGCACAGCAAAGATTCCGCTGAGAAGATGAACAGCTGGTGGTTGCAGCCTTAGAGTAGCGGAATGAATTATAGAAAACATCGGTCAGCCTCCATTGGCTGCTTTCAGGAGCTGTGTGCGTACTTTGCTCTACCGTCCATACACAAGCGTCCATGCAGCGCGCAGAGAGACATTAAATATTTAAAGGTTTCTTCATTCAGACATTGGGAAGGGAATCTAGAACACGGTGGCTATGCAAGTATATTTAAAGGAATGTGATTGCTGAGCTATAAGTGGTATATGTGGCTTTTTGCAAAATCTCACACATTTCTCATTCACACTGTCCAGGAAGGACAGGTGCTGCGTGTGATTGTACGCAGCAGCCTGGTCTTCTCTATGGGAGTAGGCAGCCGTATGCTCACCTGAACTGCACATCCGTGCAGGTGTCTGTGCTCAGACACAGACCGGATCCATCTCGTCTGCGTACGAGTACGGACGCCCGCACCAGCATCGGATGTGCAGCTCGAGGAAGCGTCCTGCTACGTACTCCTATAGAGAACAGACTGCTGTGTACAATTGCACGCAGCACCTGTCCTCAGTAACAGCCCGATACGGCCATGCACGCCGCACGGATCTGTATGGGCCGACTCTTAGCAGCCTTTAAATCTGGAAAGCCAAGCCCATAGTAACAAATGGCTGATAGGTTCCCTGTGATCCACACTGCTTGGCCAAAAAAAGTCACCATCTGGATTTAGCTAAGCAAACGGGTCAAAGCCTTCTATTGGATAATTACTGCAGTGATATGTTTCAGCTGCTTAACCCTAACCGATGCAGTGTGTAGTTTCTCATTTCATAAACAGCAATGTCAGAAGACATATCCTGTGGTCATGGAAAACATCTAACTCGGTTTGAGAAGGATCAAATTATTGACCTGCATCAAGCAAAGAAAACAACTAAGGAGATTGCTGAAACTGCTAAAAATAGGTTAAGAACTGTCCAACGCATTAATAAAATCTGGATGGATAGTGATGAACTATCATCCTTGAGGAAGAAATGTGGTCGGAAAAAAATCTTGAATAGTCATGATAAACCTTTGGTGAAATATGTTGGTAAAAAATCAATAGTAGAGCTCATGGCTATGTTTTAATAGTCAACTTAAAAGCATTTCCACATGCACAATGTGAAGAGAACTCAAGGGATTGGACTGAACAGCTGTATAGCCATAAGAAAACCACTCATCAGTGAGGCTAATCGGCGAAAAAAAAGGCTTCAATTGGCTAGGGAGCATAAAGACGTGGTCTGATGAGTCCGGATTTACCTTGTCCCAGAGTGATGGGACACATCAGGGTAAGAAGAGAGGCAGTGGAAGTGATGCACCTATCATGCCTAGTGCCTACTGTACAAGCCAATGGGGGAAATGGTATGATCTGGGGTTGCTTCACTTGGTCATGTGCAGGTTCAGCAACGTTATGTCCCCACAAAATGAGGTCAGCAGCCCACCTGAATATACTGAATGACCAGTTTTTTTCATCAATGGATTTTTTCTTGCCTGATGGCACATTGGGCATATTCCAAGATGACAATGCCAGGATTTATCAGGCTCAGATTGTAAAAAGTTCAGGCAGTATGAGACATCATTTTCACACATGGATTGGCCACCACAGAGTCCAGACCTTAACCCCATTGAGAATCTTTGGGATGTGCTGGTGAAGACTTTAAGCAGAGGTCCGATTCTCCCATCATCACTGCAAGATCTTGGTGAAACATTAGTACAACTCTGGATGGAAATAAATCTTGTGACATTGCATAAGCTTATCAAAATAATGCCATGGCGAATGCATACCCTAATCATAGGTAAAGGCAGTCCCATGAAATATTGGAGAGTGTAGTTTATTTTTGGCCAGGCAACGTGACTGTAGAGCCGAGATCTAACACCCGGTAAACTGTTTGACATCATCCTGATAAAACACTTGGGGGGTGGGGGGAAATATCAAAACTGGAGCAGACAAAAATTGGAGCAGCTGTGCATGGCAACCAATCAGCATCTCTCTTCAGTTTGTTCAGTTAAGAGTTGAAAATTAAACGGAGACGCTGATTGGTTGCTATGCACAGCTGCTCCAGTTTTGATAAATTCCCCTCTGTCTCTGAGCTTCTGGGTGCGCATAACTGCACCAAGTAACCGCGCCCCCTAGCTAAAGGGAATATAAACAGCTCTACAGCAACATATGAAAATATTGGTTTGTTGCTAGATTTTGCTTTGTGCAGATGCTTTTCTGACACCTTCAATGATAGAAGACTGCTAATTTGTTGTATTTAGGTCAGTTGTAAGAGAATTTCCATCTCCTGATTTTGGTAGATCTCTTCCCCCGTAGTCAGTGTACGGTAAAAAAAATGAAATTCTGATCAGTCTGACAAGTCTAGCTCATTAACATGCCAGAGCGAAGCTAGACTTTAATTAGATGGGGGGCAGGTGATGTTTACAGGCTCTCGTCTCGGCTGTAATTCGCAACAGAAAGCATCAAATCTGGTCTATCCCGGGATCTCGCATTACTCCGCCGATCACAATTTATTCAGCGTTTCTGACAATCGGCACTTTTCTTGTCTGCTTTGCAAATCAAACTTTTTAATTATTGATGTTCCTTTTCCAGACCTTAAACAAATAGAGTTCGTGGCTGTACCTAAATTTTTTTTTTAACTTATAGATGGTAAGGGTTGGAACGTCCTGTAGATTCAGTTTTTTTATTGAACGATGTCCATGTAGGAGGGAAAATTCCCACTGTTCAGCCATGACATTATGACCACTGAGAGGTGAATTGAATAATGTTGATCACCTCGCTACAATTGCACCGGGAAGTGGGTGTTATCAGAACTGGACCATAGACCAGTGCAAGAAGGTGGTCTGGTCTGGTGGATCAAGTTTTCTTTTAAATCATGTGGATGGTCGGATGCGTGTGTTGCTTACCTGGAGAAGAGATGGCTCCAGGATGCACTGTGGGAAGAAGGCAAGCCTGTGGAGTCATCGTGATGCTTTGGGTAATGTTCTGCTGGTAAACCTTGGGTTCTGCCATTCATGTGGATGATACTTTGACACGTACCACCTACCTAAACATTGTTGCTGACCAAGTACACCCCTTCATGGGAACGATATTCCCTGATGGCAGTGGCCTCTTTCAGCAGGATAATGCGCCCTGCCACACTGCAAAAATGGTTAAAGAATGGTTTAAAGAACACAATGAGTTTGATATCTTGGCTTGGCCTCCAAATTCTCCAGAACTCAATCCAATCGAGCATCTGGCGGATGTGCTAGAAAAACAAGTCCAATCCATGGAGGTCCCACCTCGTGACTTAGAGGAGTTAAAGGATCTGCTACTGATGGCTTGGTGCCAGATACCCCAGCTTACCTTCAGAGGTTTAGTGGAGTCTATGCCTTGATTGGCCCATTCTGTTTTGGCTACAAAAGGGGGGACCTACTCAATATTCGGAAGATGTCATAATGTTATCGCTGACTGAATTTGTAGGAGGAGGCTGGCTGTCAAATACGGCCTTGATCCCGCAGTCACTTGTCGGCGGGTCTTCAGTTATCCCACGCACCCACCCATACCCCTTTTGCAGTACATCTTCGTGAGTATGCCCCCTTTTAGCCATATTGTCCTATGCGGCCAAGGCACACCTCAGGTCGTGGTACGTAGATTGTCATCCATGTTTGTGTCCAGACTCTGACCACAAATATTATTGAATCAAAAACATGACATAATTGATAATGCAGGGGCTCCCAAATCCGTAAAGGACACAGAGGTTGGATACCCCTATCAGAAGACTTCAGTGGAACTCTTTTGTCTGTTATTTGTAGTACATAGAACAAGTAGCACTCCAGTAATGGGGTTCTGGTATTCTTTGTGTATTTGTGTTTGGTTCTTTCTACATACTAAGTCATTGAACTTTCTACTTATGTATTCATCCATTTCCAGCCCCTGTTGTGCCTAATTGCACTTCTGGATGTAACTTGTGTAAATGTAAGCGCATAATAGACATTTAATGTAAAAGCTTTTCCATTGTTATGTAGTGATCCAGTTCTCTCCTTACTTATTGCGTTACATTGCTCGTAAACTGAAGTTTGCTAAAAACCAGTTCACATTGTTTTAGACAAGTTGTGACCAGTTTTTATCTCTTGTTTTTCAGATATTTTAAGCTACTATCTCTCCTGTAACCCTGGATCTGCAAATCCTTTTCAGCAGGTAATGTCATTAGCATGTTGATGAAAGGGATGGGGGAACAAGGCAACACAAATATAAGCAGATTGGAATCCAGTTTTAAAAAAAAAAAAGCTTTGCCTAGATCTCTGGGCTTTGTATGACCATTGTCCACATCATGACACAAAAAGTTTGACCCATGATGTTGTAGTGGCACCTTTATCAGTTTTTCTGCTTTGCTGTATGCAAGTGCAAGTGTTGGGGGTAGAGTTACACACAGATGTCTTCTGCTTATTAGACTTCATTATGTGCACTTTCCCTTTAACACACCTCCATTGTAATAATTTTTATGGTAATCCTAGAGTAAAACCTTCAATGCAAAGGTCTAATCCTATTGTCAACCCAAGCTTTTTTTGAGCTGCATCTTGGCAAGGAGTAGACTGTAGCTGACATGGGCTTTCATTATATGAAAAATAAAAGATACCCCTGGGCTGGGGAAATTCTGTAGCATTTCCACAAAACTAGAAGTCTCCACAAAAGCTATACAACTGCCCAAACTGGACTAAGGTGTGTGTGACCAGGGGACATCTCAAAGGACATTCCACCAACTGACTTTTACAGTTTACACTGTAAAATGTTTTACATTGTACACTGTATCAGTTACATACATCACGTGTCCTAAAACCACTGATAGTTTGCTGTATGTGCTATAAATGAACAGAATGTGATGACCTTTTTTTTTTTTGTCCTTCAGCTGTTGTCAAGTGGCCATAAAGCTCTGGTGGAGATGCAGGATGAAGTTCTGGACCTCCTGCGATCAGCTGTTAAAGACTACCCCAAGTCTATGGTAAGAAGGCAGTATTGGCTCTTTCACCACAGAGCTTTAGTAATCAATCCAGCCCAGCTTAATACACTGCCTGGACAAAAAAAAAGTCACTCTAATTTTTCATTAGCTTTGATTTATGGCACACATTTGCTGTGGCATCATTTCGATAACCTTTATGCAATGTCACATTATTTCCGTCCATAGTTGCATTCATTTTTCACCAAGATCTTGTAGTGATGATGGGGGAGTCGGACCTCTGCGTAAAGTCTTCTGCAGCACATACCAAAGATTTTCAATGGGGTTAAGGTCTGGACTTTGTGGACGGCAATCCATGTTTGAAAATGATGTTTTATGCTCCCTGAACCGCTCTTTCACAATTGGGCCTCATGGATCCTGGCATTGTCATCTTGGAATATGCCCGGGCCATCAGGGGAGAAAAAAAATCCATTGATGGAAAGCCTGGTCTTTCAGTCTGTTCAGGTAGGCAGCCGACCTCATTTATTGGGGACATACCGTTGCTGAGCCTAGACCTGACCAACTGAAGCGACCCCAGATAATAACACTGCCTGCAATCCAGGGGGTGACTTTGTTTTTGACCAGGCAGTGTACATAGTGTTGAAAATTGAGCAATGAAAGCAGTTTGGTTTGTTTAGAGTCATCTTTGGCATGACAGGTAGACCTGTTCATCCTGTGTGCTGTATTTACAGCCTTCCTGCTTAGCTGCCCCTCTGTGTACAAACTCTAATTTGTCAGTAAGCTTCCAGTTAGTGGATGGGGTCGGCCTTTGTTTGGTTCACAGAGAATGACGGCCGTCCAAAAGCAAACCCCATCCAGTACTAAGAGGATGTAGTGAATGGCATACTTACCTGCCAATACTATGCTGTCATGATTTACTGCTTATTTCTGATATAACCAGGATAATGACCTGTTACTATAGTCTTTGTCACCACAAATTAATTGAGTAACTTGCAGCAATTTTTTGACCCACGCCATATATACCCCTTCTACTGAAAATAGCAGCAAGCTTAACTCATACATATTCTTGATTACAGGTGGTGGGATGGGATGAATGGGGGAATGTTGTGCCGATTTGGTTTATTTTTTTTTCTCTGTGATGTTCCTATATGAATGTATAAATCAATTGAAAAAAGGGTAAATGAGTGACTGTTGATTGCATTGGTTACAGGACAAACTTCTCAACATTCAAGGAGTTCTGAACTCCACAGAGATTAATCTGCAGCGTCTCACAGCTCTGGTGGACTGCCGGGGATTACACTTGGTAAGTAGCGGTCAGGTTGGCTTGGTTTCCAGGAGGACTAGGGCCAGCCATACTTGTAACTATGTGGGTGATCCGCGCAAGCAAGAAATGGGTTGTCTTGGGTTAATAATGGACCTTGTTGGTAGCAGAGAACCCGGAAACATATTTGAGAATGATCTGCTGTAGGATCTGCTCAGTGAAATCTCTCTCGTGAAGAGAATTCTAGTAGCTAACCTCTTCTATTTGTGACATTTGCAAGGTTATTTTTTCTGATGAAATATCTGACTGTGTTGGTCAAAAATTGCCAAAATCTGATATATGTTCAGTCTGATAGTCCCCTCATGCTAGACAGTAACTGGTATACCTAAAGGTAATCATACAACGGATTGTAATTTATGTGACCAACTTAAAGATTTTCATTTGTCTCCCAATTCACTTTAAACGCCATACACTGATTTAAATATGTCTGTTTCCTGCTGAATTGGCCAAAATATGACCTGTGGGTGGCCCTATCAGCACCACCCGGCTCGACATAAGTTGGTATTGCACGGACTTTTGTCAGAGGAACTGGGTGGAGAATTGTTGGCCAATCGGGTGTAGTCACTACAGTGGAACCTTGGTTCACGAACAGGACGTTCGGCAAAATTTTGCTTCCGTTCACGAACTCCGCATCGGGTGACTAACACAACTGTAGCCATCTTCCCCGCTCTGACACATGGTCGTGGCTTCCTCTAGTCGAGATCGCAGTCTGATCACAGTTTGATTAGGTTCGCGACCAGAATCGTGGAACGAATTAAGTTCGTGAACCGAGGTACCACTGTATTTGGGTATATTGCAGCTTACCAGTCCTCCGATGTAGTGGCTGCATTACTTTTTTTTTTTCCTTTTTTGTGTTTTTTTTTTTTTTTTGGGGGGGGGAGCAGGGGAGTTTCCCTGGTGTTCTGCACACTTCACTTCCTATAGTGGTTACACTTGCTCCTCCACTATTTCTATAGAGGGAGCCATGGGTGTCAACCTAGAACACAACTACAAGCAAATCTTTCACTCATCAGCTCCTTTACATGGGGATTAGTGGTTTACAGGAGGAGGATAACATTGTCTGTGATTTCAGTTCAGCTCAGGAAGTGACAAGGACACAGCATTTTTGTCAAGATCAACACAAATTTTCTGAACATAAAAACGAATGCAGCCATCACATTTAAGGCGTGTCAAGGAGCAATATATTCCATTTCTGTTCTAAGGTTTAGATATCCTTTAAATCTGCCAGGTTCTGACACCCTGATACTGAGATGTAGCATGTGTTCTGTCCCCTCCCAGGACTACGTCCAATCGCTTACTGGTTTCTGCTATGATGGAGTGGAGGGGCTCATATACCTGGTCCTGTTCTCCTTTGTAACTGCCCTGATGTTCAGCTCCATTGTGTGCAGTGTGCCCCATACCTGGCAGCAGAGGAGGTATGTGAGTAACTGCTTTTATATTCTTATGTGTGTGATTGCATGCTTGTCTGCAAAGGGAAGGGAGGGGGGTAAGACTTCTCCAATAATGAACTCAATTAAGATGCAATTTTTGGGGTAGATAAGTGGAAAAATAAGTGTAAATTGCACTTGCCTCCATGGTAAGTAAAATCCAGCTCCCGGGGGGATCTTTTCTAGTCCTGTCCAACTTCTGGACCCTGTGTCCTCATTCATATTGAAGGAATTAAATCCTTAGAAGTGTATGAAGATTTCCCAGCATCCTGCAGATTGGCATTTGGGGGGCCAGAGTGTAATGACCGCATGGGAGCAAGATCTGTGGAGGGGAATTGTTCAGTGGATGGTCTTTGGCTGGCAAGGAAGTGCAATTTACAGCATTACACTTATCTGCCTAAAATCAACAGAGGACATCTCCGTAGAATTCTTGAAACAAGGATGCTCATAACAGTACTGGGTTAGCTTATGTGTTTTAAAAGGAGAGCTTGTTCCCTTTTAAAGCTGAATTCTAAATGAATACAAAATAACCAACAATTTAATGGAGAAGTGTTAATTTAAAAAAAAATACAACTAATTTAAGTACTTGCAGATGCTTTGATTTTTGACTTTGGCATCCCACTATAGAGCCACACCAAAGCTGGGCAAACGCTTATTGAATTTCGATCTTGGGTAGCCCTGCCAGTACCACCCAGTTCAACAAAAGTCGGCTTTCCAATTGACTTTTGTTGATAGAGCCGGGTGGAAATTTGTCGGCTGAACAGTGTAGCCGACAATAGCTGGCAGGGAAGATTCCCCCATCCATGCTGTTTAGAGAAAGCGAAGTGTATGGCCAGCTATAGACTGGAAGTGGGAGGGATAGTCCTCTGATCCACTTGAGTTTTCCTAATCATCATCTGCATATTTAGCAATTTGCCTGGAGTTCAGCTATAAACAAAACCAAGCCAGACTTTTTAGGAGACACTCGTAAATGTTGTTTTTGATGTCCAGTTGCTGCTCTCAAGCAGTTTTATAGTGATTTTGCCAGCAGATCGTCCTTCAGTCTGCTTTTTCTGCATAAATAAGTGAATAGTGTAAATTCTGCATAAGCAGAGTCCGTTTTTTTAGAATTGTAAAGGTTTAGAGAGGAGGTCCCCTTTAAGGAGGCCGTGCATTTTATTCTAGAAAAAGCTGGAATATATCACGTCTTTACAATTCTAGAGCTAATGATCTCCATTACGTCACTGGCAAAAATATAGAAATAGCCAAAACATTTAAAACCTGTGTCAGCATTTTTCTTCAAAACTCTGTTGATTAAATGACATTAAAATATAATCTTTAATTTTTATGTATGTTTTTGGTCATTTTTATGAAGAATTGTGCAAATGTGTATTACTTTGCAGTACAAGAAAATGGCTCTTTTCAAGGGTGAGCTTTTCTAGTGCAGTTCTGCTGCCACCTTGTGGCTGGTTTGTGAAAAGCAGCCTTCACTTTGCCAATGTGATTTTGATTTCTTGTATTAAAAAAGACATTTTGCCATTATCGTTGTTTTCCATTGTAAATTGTTTTTGAATGCAGTCAAATGCCAGCTGAAATAGAATATCGACAACCATTTTTTTTATCGAGTCAGCCAAAAAGGACAATTTATTAGGATAATTTTATATCTTCAAGGCTATCATGTTGACAGTCTCTTGCAATACATGTTAAATCAAAACTGACCGAATTTGTTGATTCAAGTTGTTTTCTAGAGAACAATAGATACCAAAAGAAGCAATTCTTTTTCACCTTCATTGCAGAGCAGTAAATGCAGTGCAGAATGATAATTGATGCTGGTCAGAAATGACATGGAAGATGTACATAGTGCTCTGCCTACTCTTCCTCTTTTGGCAATGCATCAGACTCCTTTCTCCTCTTATATGAAAAATAAAACTTTCTTCCCCAAAGAGCTTGGAATAGGCTGATTATGGTCCTGTGTATGGGATCCTTAAGGCCCCTTTAACATGGGCTAATCAGGAGGGGATCTGTGCACGGATTCCCCTCCTTGATTGGAGCGGTACCGATCAGTTGTCACTATTATGACATCCAGGTTTTCCCTCCATTGCTAAAATAACCAGACCCCCATATTGGTCCATGCGGACATGTGTCCATTTACATCAGATTGCTCCCGATCGGGCATGACCAGATCTGTCGAAATGGAATATTGTTCCGTTTGTTTTTCTGGACCTGACCAGAGTTGGGGGTAACCAGGTGTATACGGATGCCCATCCATGTACATACAGCTGCCCATAGACTAGCATTGGTTATCCAATCGGGTCTACCTGAAACACTGATAGGTCAGACCACCCATGTGAAAGGGTCCTAAAAAGGAACCTGTTAGAAGTACTTAAAGGGGAACTGAACTCTTAAAACTATGCCCCAAAAAAGGCAGGCATAGAGTAAAGGACTAGTCCTCAGTATTTCCTGGGGTCTATCTGTAGCTGATCTTTCCCCATTTCTGACTTGGTGCCTTCTGCATTGTTTCTGTGTGGAAGCAGCCATCTTGGTAGAGGCAGGGCTTTGTTTCCTTGTGTCAGAGCCTCCAGCAAAGATAACAGTGAGCAGCACAGTAGTGACATCCCCAAATCTACAGAGACTAGCAGTCAGAGGCAGCAGTGCTTTAGATCTCACACTGCAGATATACAGCGATGAGGCTGAAGGCACAGGAAGGTCTAGGCACCCTCACATACCAGGAAGAGCATTGCTACGTTAAAGTAAAAAGTTTAAGAAGCGGTACATATTTCAGGGAACTGTTGAGGCACAATTAACATTTCTAGATGTTCCCTATAACACAACAAATCTTTACTTTTTGGGTTTGACTGTAAGCATGTTCGTATCAGATACCCAAACACTTAACTGGCTACATGCTTGTTTTGGGTTAGAATTGTTTGTGTGTTTTTTTTTCCTTTTAATTGCTGTTGCCGTTCAAGTAACTTATCTCTACCTGCTAGGGGCAGCTATGACGAGGGGGATGAGGAGGCCACCACTCCGGGGACACGACAGACTCATGACAACCTGTACAGGGTGCACATGCCCAGTTTATACAGCTGTGGGAGCAGCTATGGCAGTGAAACCAGCATCCCCGCCGCTGCACACACAGTCAGCAACGCCCCTGTGACGGAGTACATGTGAGTTTTTTTATATCTTTTTGTCCTGTAACTTTGTTGCATGCTATGTCTCTTCTGCAATAATATAAACTTGTCTGCCTGTTCACAATCATCTTTAAAATGTACGTTGAGGTGCACATTCTAGCACACCGCAGTGTGGGGAATTAAAGGAGAACTATGAGGTGAATGATTTTAACTCATCCTCATAGTTTGAGCCGACGTGTGACAATTAAACTGTCACAGGTCGGCTATATTGATCAGGAAGTGAACACATACCGTCGCTCGCTCACTTCCCGATCATCTCCCTGCAGAGAGCGGTGGCTGTCAGTCGCCGCTACCCGCAGGGATTCCCCCCTCCCCTCTCCGATCCACCAGTGCTGAGTGGAGGAACGGGGGGAGGCACAGCTGCCTCTGCCTCTATATAGGCAGAGCCTCCTGTCAATTAGCCAGCTGGGTGGATCTCGACAGTATTGTCGGGATCCGTCCCGGCTGCATCACTCTCTTTAAACTCTTTACAGACCCATCAAGTAAAGAGCAACAACTGTTGATCTGCTAGAAATGCACTCTGCTCCTAATTTCCAGTTGTGCGCAGGCAACCGGCAACGTTTTTGTGGGCTCAGTGGTTTCAGCCTCATCCAGTTGTCTTATGCTAAACTATGCAAGCCTCCCCTGTTCTCCAACATAGAGGCTAATTGTTCTGGGGTTCAAGATAAAAATTGCAGGTTGTTAATTTGGCCCCTTTAAGAAGAACTCCTGGGAAAATGATTAATAGTAGTAGTAGTAGTAGTAAAGGGCTACGCGTACACTGCAAGGGTTAAGTGCTTGTTTTGGTCTAGGGAGGAAAATAACTGTTATTCTCACCTGACCCTCAGAGCCAACTTGCTCTTAGACTGGTCCCTGGAGACTCTCTCCCCCTCCACTGCAGCGGTCTAAGGTCCCGTAAATAATCACATCCAGTACACTGTGTATAGAACGTGAATATGCTGAGGGATATACCATCGCTGCAGCACAGAAGGAGCGAGGCTGGAGGGAGCACTGTTCACAACCTTCCGGCGCAAAGGAGAGGGTGAGTATAACTTTGTTTTTTTCCTCCCTAAACCAAAACAAGCAGTTCACACTTGTAGTGCAGAGGATAATCATTTCCCCCGGAGTTCACAGGAGGTGTGCAGAGGGCACAGGACAGCTCTGAATTTCTGACCCGATCAACAGGTATTTTTTTTTGTATAGAAGAAAAATGGATGATCGCACACCGGCTAGGTCCAAACACTTTCTTTCTTTGTTCATAAAAACATAACATAAGAGATTAATCAAGACCTCTGTAACACACAGTTGCTTAGTCATTGTCTGTGTGCGTGAAATGCGTCAGTGGTCTTAATTCATCTCTTGTGTAATGCTTTTATGATTTAATAAAGTAAGAGTTTGGCAACAGCTGGTGTGAGGTCATCCAATTTTACTTTTTAGTGGCTGTCGGCAAACAAGCTGGACAAGTCCTGGCTATAGCAGGCAAGCAAGGACTAATCTGGAGCACGCATTGCTTTTGTTACCAGGTTTTTTGTTTTTTTTCTATTGAACAGATATATGTCCTGTGTGCGGCGGATCCGGGTCCCTGAAGATGGCGGATGCGGCACAGGTACTCGTTTTATGTTTTGGAGTATTTGCACGAGTACGAGTACTCATGCAAATACTCGGTATCGCGGCCGATACCGATGCTTGTATCGGTATCGGTGCATCCCTAAACAAAACCCATTCAATGGAATAGTTAACAGACCCGAAAGGGAGCAAATAAGAAAAGTTCATTGCTGAATTCCACCAATTCCAGATATTTCTTTAACATGTCAACTAGTATTTTTTAAGTAAAGGATCATTAAAACCAAGAAAATTAATTGACTGTAGGGATGCACCGATACCGTTTTTTTGGTATCTAGTACGAGTACCGATGGGTTTTTCTTCGGTACTTGCCGATACCGATAACAGAAATACAATTAAGGAAGCTTGGCTGCTTCCTGATTAGTCGGGAAGCCGTCTCCATTCTCCCTTGTCACCAGGTGACAAGCAAGCATGGAGCCAGCTTTCTGGCCAATCAGGAAGTCGGGGGGGGGCGTGTAATGACTCGCTGCCTGGCATCCTGATTGGCCAAATGACAAGGGAGCATGGAGCTGGCTTCCTGAACAATCATTGACCACCCCGGCTTCCTGATTGACCAGGAAGCCAGCTCTATTCTCCCTGGTGATGAGGGAGCATGGAGCCGACTTCCCGGCCAATCATGAAGCCAAGTGGTGTGTAATGTACGAGTACTCGCCCAAATGCTCTGCATTGGCACCGATGCTAGTATCCGTATTGGTGCATCCCTAATTTTAATGATCGTTATCGCTATGTTCTCGTTAAACATTACTTATCTCAACTAATCAGCATGTATCTTTTACTCATCTGATGACCGTAAACTGTGATTTGGTTGGTATGGGTTATGACCCTTGACAAATTACAATTGCACTTTTTTTCTTCTTTTTCACAGGAGTCAGAATGCGAACTTCCAGAATCCCCGCTGTGAGAACACCCCCCTCATTGGACGTGAGTCACCTCCTCCTTCAGTAAGTTTAATTATTGTGGTAACATGTACAGTGTAGCCAAGGTGGAAGTAACTGGAAGAAAATGGCTGGAAACCATTCAACCTGCCTGTCCTGGGTGCCAGAGGGCAGAAACTGGCACCGAGTGAGAAAAATGCTTGTATTTAAAGACGACCTACTTTCACAGTGGCTGATTGTGTTCATAATTACACAGTACTGGGCTTAATAGATATTATGCTATCGAGGGCAGTAGATACAGATCGGCCAATAAGAAATCAGTCTGCCTTTTGGATGCTCATTGGAAGCGGTTCAAAGCTGATTTATTTATTTTTTGTTTTTCTTCCACGCCACTGATTTTTGTGCTAATAAATGAGGCAAGAAGGTGAGAAAACAACATAAATGTACATATAGAGGCAACTCGTATATATCCCAGCATTCCAAAATGAACAATGGGGACATATTAGGAACAGTCCTTCTCTACTAAAACCCTACACCTATGCGTGGGTATGCCATGCACGTTTCCCTGAAGTGCCATCCTGGCACCAAGAATCAGGACTATTCCATTTCTGTTTGTTCTGAAACATCCTCACAACTACTCTGCTCCTGCAATGTGCATGGATAGCACTACAAGGCTATTCACACATTGTAAAGAAAATCTGCAGCTGAATTAAACTGACCACTAAGTCTCCGGATCTTTACCCCTTCCTGTATGGCTGGTAGGCGGGGACTAGATGCCTTGATGTCAGGAGAAAGAGCACCCTGCACCTTTGTCAAACATCCCTTTGCAACAGTTTACAGGGCAGCCTGGGAAGAAGAGAGGAGCTGTAAGCTGGGGCTGCACTAAGGGTTGTCAGAGGAAGTGCTGGCATGGCAGAGCGAAACGCTGCATACTTTCTCCATCTGTGAATGGAGGCAAAAACGAACATTCTTAGTACATTTTCTTTCCAAGTCAATTGTAAAATCAGGTAAATACTGCATTATGGCCAGTAGATGGCATTGAGGAGCATATGAAATTTCCTCTGCTTTCCTGCTCTATCTGGTGGCCATAATGTGGCATTAAAAGATGACATTCGAAATACAAGAATGTTCGTTTTGTGGATCCGTTCACACAGAACAAACATTCACAGAGCTTCCCAGGACTAATGGTTCTGTGAATGGTTTATAAATAGACCCCCAAGTGTTCCTGCAAAGAGCTATCCAGTGCCACTTCGGCCTCCCAAAACAACTCGGCTTCTGGTATAGAGGGAAACTTACCCATGGCAACTAATCATTGTTTTCGAAACAATAATAACTTCTGATGGTCATTGCACTTTGACCTTTGTTCCAAAACAATAATGACTTCTGATGGTCATTGCACTTTGACCTTTTGTTGCACTTTATTATGATGAAAGTGTGTCAGCCATAAGAGCTTAGTGACAGTTCACATTATATAACTGTTACCATCTTCTTGGAAAAAAAACAAAAACTCATATGTTGGGTTTTCAGTCTTTGGATGTGACAAATGACCCCTCAGCAGCTTCTAGAAACCTCACTGCCTGCCTTCTCCCTGGGGCTGCTCATTAAACACAAAATTAACAAGGAGATTGAATGGTCATGCAAGACTTGACTAATTAAAACTCATTACGTTGACATTTGCCATTACATCTGTTCATTATAGCATGCATTATTTGACGAGGGGAACTGGCAATGGAAAAGTATCCTAGAGGTTGTATTAACCAGTTCAGGCTTATGGAATAAGGCAAAGAGCAGTAAGTTATAACAACCAATCAAAGTTCATCTTTTATCCAGTGTACAACAGTCAGAACAATGATTTCTGGTTGATGGAAGGGGCTTACTGCATTACACATTGCTATTTGCTGTATTCCATAGAGTTTATATAATCATATTTCCACTTTGTCTGGATTTGCTGCCATTTACAAGCTTGGCTTATTTTGAATACTAGGTTCGTTAAAAGCATATAGCACGACAGAACGTTGAATGCTAACTGTACCCATTGATACAGGGCTATTCTCTACTTATCAATATGAGACTTATGTAGTAGAAGTAGATAGTCTCATTCTGCTCGACTCGCTCTGTAATGTTAAAGACGTTAGAAGCTAATCAAGGCAGCTTCTTCAATTCTAATTAATGTCAGGGACATACTGTGTGGCATTTGTTGCCACACTGGTTACTCACTCATCCTAATACAAATGTGATGGAATGTGTCAAAGCAGATGTTGATTGACCAAGAACATAATGGAAGGTTTGAAAGTTTTTTTGAAAACTCCCTGGTCTTATTACATCATTCGAAATCCTAACCTCTGTTGCCCCACATCCAATCACTATCCAAATCTTGCCGCCTTCACCTTCGTAACATATCCAAAATACGTCCCTTCCTCGCCAATGAAACCGCAAAGCTACTCATCCACTCACTTGTTACCCTTTCGTCTTGACTATTGCAGCTCCCTCCTTTAAAAACCACTGACAAAGCCATCCACAACTCTGAGACAAGGTTGGAGCGATAGCCGGGGGCAAAGTATCACCCTAACTGTCCCCTCCACTCTTCCAAAGACCTCCTGCTCTCCAGCTCCCTCGTCAACTCCTCCCATGCTTGCCCGCGGGACTTCTCGAGTCTCCCCCATTCTTTGTAACTCCTTACCCCAACCTGTCTATCTCTTACTCGGACTACCTTTTAGGTAACCCCTAAAGATTCAACTCTTCAGGGAAGCCTATCCCGCCTCAAACTAACCACTGAACCATCACTTTCTCAAACAATTTATCCCCGCATAGCTACCTCCTCATGTATCACTTGCCCCTCCCTTTTAGGTTGTAAGCTCTCATGTGCAGGGCCCTCCTTACCATCTTGTCTTGAATTGTATTGTAATTGTAATGTCTTCCTTATATTGTGAAGCACTGTGCAAACTGTTGGCACTATATAAATCACGTATAATAATAATGGTGCCATGGAGTGTGGAACAGATGTAAATCCTTCACATTACCTGTGTGAAGATGTATAATGTTAAAACACCAGGATAGAGATAATAAAACAGCATTATATGTGGATGACATATGTGTTGAATACTCCTAACCTGTTAAGTAAGGGATGTGTCGGATTGATGTAGATGGCCTCTTTCAGGCCTTTTGTGAACCAATTTTTCTCTTTCCAAAATGTGCGCCTCCCTGTCCTCAAAAGAATGCCCTTGTTCCTTAAGATCTAGAGAGAATGCAGAGTCCTGACCCACAGGGTCAACCCCCCTATGTTGGGCCATCCATTTGTTAAGTGCTAGTTTTGTCTCCCCCAAGGATTGAGACGTGTTGCAGACTTCATGGTGCCATGTTATGGATTTATGCAATTAGAACAGGGTATTGCCACAAACATTCACACCTTCCATCCTGCTCTTGATCAGCCTTGACACATTCCATGGTGATTTGGATTAAGATGATTGAGATTCCTGCGTGGCTATAAATGCTGGGCTATGTCCCTGACACTCATCAGAGATGAAGAACTAGCTTGAATAAACTGCTAAATGTTTTCAACATTCGAGAACAAGTCCATTTGAATGTGACTAGCTAATGCTAACTATACCATGGCCTGGATAAATGGGAACCTTTACAGACATGTATCAGAATTCGCTCATTTCTATGCAATATGGTTCCTTTAGCGCTAATATATATGCAGTAATGAGATAAAGAGTTCAGTATGGCAGTTTTCCATGGTGCAGCTGAGTTGTATTTATGCATAGAAGTGTCATAAAAATGCCTTTTTGTGCATTACTTATTTTAATGGGCTTGTAAAAATGTTCACTATAACTTTTAGATGTATACTATATGCGTGTTAATGAATGGGATTTCTACTATAAATGCATTCCATAGGTTTTACTGCAGTAAAATAGACTCTACTTATTAATATACAATATAATGTAATGGTCATTCTAAGAACTAACTAAATAGGGCAAGGTTAGCCATTCATTCCTTTCCTATGGGCTTAAATTATTATTCCTCTGGAGATTCTGCTGGGGGCCAAGTAATGATGTATTTCTGTATCTAGCACTAAATATTGGCCTCTCTGTAGGATTATATAGATAATTTACTTACTAAGCCTGCTATGACAACAGCATGACTGGGAGGGAATACAACTTTGCCATGCTCAATTTAAAAATGGAAATTTTTGGGTGGAGTAGTTTTTCCCTTGGCTCGTACATGAAGAAGCCTGCCATATACTTTGATGATCACTCCTCTGCTTCTGCAGTTGCTCTTCTCTTTGGCTAGACTCTTGCTATAATTTTGTTTTTTACCAAAGCAGGGCATTAGGTAAAATACCAGTGCACACTGTCTAGCCAAGGAGGTAGCAGACTGGTTACCTGTAGCTCTCTGTTCAGGGGTTCCCAGCTGGCTCCTCGCGGGTTCTCACCTGGCTGCTCAGGTAAGGGTTAAGCTACTCAAGCTCTCAGCACTGCAGGAATAAGATCATGATCTAAGGAATCCAGACATGCTCAACTGTTTGATATCTCTTTCCCAGCCTTCCCTTCCCCCTGTGTGCTCCCATGTTGATCCAGGGCTGTTCCTGTAGAGTGATAGAGCCCTCCCTCCTGAACATACATGGCTGGACACTCCACCATGACGTGTCGGCTGCAATGTATCATGTTTCATGCACGTTGAGGCTCCACTCTCTTTTTCTCTTTCTTTCCTGCAACAACACAGTTGTATTTGGCTGCCATGGACAATAGCAGCCATATGAGCTGGCAGCTTAAACCATCGGACAGTGCAAGGACGTATTGGTAACAGCGCCCGCTCTTGGAACAGGTACTGAAACAAAAGGTCCTCCTTACCCTCACTGATCCCTCTTCTCCTGCCCGCTATCCCTGCACTGTGTCCCTCCTCCTCATGCCCGGCCAGTGCCCCTCAGTTATACACATCTTTCCACCCAACTGCCACAACACTTCACAAAAGTCTGCACAAGGGTGTGCTTTACCGACAGCTAGACACCAACCAGATAGGGCAACATCTGGGTAACTCATTGTGAGATATTGTGTCAGTTTTCTGAA